AGGCCTGAACGTCTCTTTTGTGGGCTCTGAAAATCTCGTCGTCAATCTGTTGTGTTTCGTGGATTTAAGTCAGACGAAAAACTACAACTCAATACAAACTCAACGTCTATATTTTCAACATGGCAGTTCTCAAATCTACAAGGTACGCACATGGCATGCATGTGCATATGTGACAGATACCACGGGCCAGCATGCCCGACATAGCAATTTCCTTGCAAAATAGTTACAAGAATTTGGTATAAGATCAAGATAACAGCATCTACCTGATAAGTTTGACTATTCTCATTACCTGTTTGCTGGACAATGTATACATATTTGGGGAGAAGTTACATTTTAATCATTTTTGGGCATTAAAGTACGAAAAGTAATTATATGGACCCTAAAGTACCAATAATGTTTACTTGGAATGAATATCAATGTAATGTGGAACTACCGGTAATTTACCAATCATGTCTTTGTTAGAGTTTTTTTTTGTTTACTTTTAATTCTCAGTGGCTCATTGCAATATTTTCCTTCACTCTTCTTGGCAAGTATGATTTTTTTGCAATCAGGTTTCATTAAATTTGTGATGATTGACAAAAAAAATCATTCTTTTTTTTTTTTTTTCAAAGAAAAATACACATCTGTCTTATTTCAGAGTTGGGTTTGACTGGGGTCCCTGTGTTTAATACCAATAACAACTGTTCATCTGCATCATCTGGCCTGATGTTGGCAAGGCTGTTGGTTCTCAGTGGACAGTATAGGTGTGTCTTAGCCCTAGGTAGGTACTTTCACTTTCTTTGATATAATCGTTATTGGGAGGACTAAACCACTGTTAAGATTTCTGTAAAACTGAGGTCACACATTGAACATTGTGTTATTTGTTGATTTTGTGTTATTGAGCAATATGTTTGTAATAGTGTAGTCTGATTGTCCAGGTGAGTGTAGTCTTGAGAAGGACTGTTGTCGGTTGTGGTGAGTGACATTTCGACAACTGAGCGAAAGTCATCATCAGAGTCAAGTGAATAGTAGTTGTGTCAGTCAAATGTTATTAGTCCAGCTCTTATAAAATGATCGGTCAGTTTTGCCATGATGTTATTGGATGCACTCAAGTGGTGTAAGTCAGTCGTGATTGGTCTGTTTTGCTAGGATGGTTAAGTTAGATCGTTATGTGCAGTTCCTTTGTAATGTTCATCATGAATGTAATTAACAGGTGGTCCTGTGCATGATATAAATCTAATAAAACCAAAGTTATTAATAGTCTTTCTATATGTGTGCATACCTTAGCTGTCACATTGGCCAATATATCTATTAGATGAAAACAACCAAACTGAGAGAATTGTTTTGTTTGTGTTCTTCACAAAGGATTTGAAAAGATGGAAAGAGGTTTGTCGGAAAGGTACAAAGACCGTGTATCTCCTGTAAAACGTCACATGGATCACATGGTTAATATTGGTGCTGCACCTGGGCTCGTCAATCCTCAACTGAACTCTATGACTTCAGATGTTATTAAGGTAATGTATGTTTAGTTGTGCTGTTTAACTAGCCAAGAGAAGAAGTGTTATGGGACATTATAGAGACCCAATGTAAAGTGACTTTTTCCTTTTCCAGGTTTCTGCAGCATAAAGCAACCGCTTCATCCATGGTTCTGATACTTTCATTCGCATTCCCTTCTCTTTCTCAATATTTCCAGGCTATAGAAAACTTGCATCTGACTTAAGCTTGCTTTGGACAGATTTTATTATAACTGACTTTTTCTTCTGTCTCATATTTGAATTAGCTGTTTGCTTATGCTGCACGAGAGCATAGTCAAAAATACGGAAGCACATTTGAACAATGTGCTAGAATTGCTTACAAGAATCACAAGCACAGCATTCACAACCCAAATGCTTGCCTTAGAAAGGAGCTCCCTTTGAGCAGCATTACACATTCAAAATTGATTTGCAAACCTATCACCTATGCCATGTCTGCACCCACGGCAGATGGTTCAGCGGCTGCCATTGTGTGCTCAAGAGAATTCATGGAATCAAATGAAATGCAGGTTTGTTTTGAGGAATTTTATTTTTTCCAGAAGGAGACTGTTTGTACTTTACCTGATTTTAAAGGCTTCTGAGAGAACATTTTTTACAACGAGAGGTAAGACAGGGGAAGTGGTCTAGAGGCTCAGGAAAACCATCACCAGCGGGACAAATCATGGTTACTCTATCAAAAAATAAGTTCAAATTTGTTGGCTTTATTGGAATGAAGTGTGAACTTTTAAGAAAAATTGAAGCAGATAGGGGCTTTTTTGAGGCTGGAAGTTTGACTGTGCACCATCATATAAGAACATATGACACTTTCCAGTTGCCACTTTTATCTGCATGAAAAGCATAGAACCGCTAAAATTGTGAATTTATGAATAATTATAACTCTTAGCTCAGAACACATGCATACTGCAGAGGTTTCATTAAGGGCCAGGCACCAGGCAAATTGACCGGTTGTGAGGACGGCTTTGCCCACCTGATTTGACCATCTGGAGGAAAGTTTATCTTATAAAGAAGTTCAGTTCAAAGAGTTTTGCCCGCCTGTGAAAACCAGTTGCCCTCCTGCAGAAAACATTAATGAAACCCCTGATACTGGCTAGGAATATGTTACTATGGTCTGTTCATCAGTGGTACTTTGCATCCGGAATTGCTTCAGGATTAATGCTGACAGGGAGTTCAGGACCAATATATGGTCCATGATACTGTTCAGTAAACAGGTCAGTTTGCTTCACTGAAATCAATGGAGACCTTTTCTTTTATAGAACAAAGCCGTAGAGATCTTAGCTCAGCAGATGGTCACAGATCTGCCATCTTCATTTGACAAGAGCTTTATGGACCTGGCAGGAGTTGCCATGGCTACAAAAGCTGCCATAGACTGCTACAGATCATCAGATCTCACACCCCATGATGTTGATGTCCTAGAGGTTCATGATTGTTTCTCTTGCAATGAGGTCAGTAGAACTCTCAATCTGTTACTCTGTGTCCAAGAAAGAGTATCATGCAGGGTTGTCACCTAGGGCCAGCTGCCAACAAAATTCACCTGATGAAAAAGTGGCTGAATTTTAAGGTGGCCATGGCTTGGTAAAGCACAACAGGCACTTCCGAGATTACACGCTTACAATCCTTTACCACCTTTGAGCCGTGTCACTTGAAATTTCTGCTGGCACTGTAATTTCCTAGGTACAACCCTGACCATATGTACCATTTCTGAAAACAGCATGTGTTGTTTCAATCTATAGTTTGCAAAAAACAAAATATTCAATAGTGTGTTTATATGTTCTTCCTGACCACCGCCAAACACCCAAAAACCAAAAACTGTGAGATAAAGCCGTGACAACCATGCTAAGTTAGTTCCAATGTTTATTTTAATTTTAGTTATTCATGTATGAAGCCATGGGGCTTTGCCCAGGGGGAAGGGGTGGAGATCTCATTGATTCAACTGAATGGATCGTGAATAAAAATGGTAAGGTCTACTTATTATTGCTTTTTTACAAATGAAATATTATTTTGAATAAGCATTGCTTACACGGACACCCCCCTCCCTCCCTCCCTGAAAAAAAAGTTGCACATTAGAGGCAGCCGAGTGTGTCACTATCTTCTTACTGCATTTTGTCGTCTTCTGTGATATATTTAATGAACAGACCCACAGCAGCATGGAATCTATTTGTGTGATATGATAAAAAAAAAAGCAAAATGTTGATAGTGGTGATGTTATCTATGCGTCTGTCCCCCAATAGACCATAAGCAAAAAAACCAATCAAAATGCGTGTGTATCGCAGCTTATTATATAATAAAGGGGGTCAGTTTCTAAAGAAACTGTCGTACTGTGTCGGCGGGAGTAACGAGGTAATTAGAAACGTTTGGTTTTATTGACTGAGTTTATAATGTAAATCGGCCGCTGTAGAGAGTTTAAAAGCTCACGTTTCGAGCACAGGGGGCCCATACAATCTGTTTTTGTAGCCGACCGTTGTTTTATAGTGAATGTACCAGATTTACCGTTTGCCTCACCTACAGTGATATATTGCTGACTATGTACATAAGTCATTGATAAATAAACGTTGAATTACTTTATCTGTGGTGCATAGTCGTCCTTTTGCTTCAAAAATGTTTTTTTTTGAGCGATTTTGAATAAGTCTGATTTCGTCGTTAATGTAATGCATTAAAGAAAGACAAGGGTGGAAGCCTTGTTTTGCAAGGGTTCAAGCGCCCGAGCGATTTTGACCCGAAAATCGCATCGCTCCGCTTTCAAACTTCGCAACATTAAGGTCAAAAGATGCACGATTCTCCTCGTACCTTCCAATCGAAAATCCATCCAAACGGACCGGAGCTAGCCCTCGAAGAAAATCAAAATCCCACAGTATTTTAGCGTCTGGGATGCGTAGCAAGATTCTCATGTGCCAGCCAGAAACCGTCACGTTGATTGCCCTTTTCTGATTGGACGACGTTAAACGATGACCAATTCAAAATATCTAAGAGCCTGCAATCCTCGGAGCGCTTGGAGACGGACCCCAATAGTGGCGTAGCTTCGAAAGAATGGCTACATTGGAAACGAACGTTCGATAACTTCTTAGCTGTCCTACCGCAGGATGACCTCGATAAGCTTTCAGTATTGGCGAACTTCGTGTCTCCTTCAATTTTTCAACACATCGAGGAGTGCACCGAGTACGAAGCAGCAGTGGAAATGTTACAAGCACTTTTTGTGTAGCCTCGGAATGAAATATTTGCCCGCCATACACTTGCGACGAGGTGCCAACAGCCTCATGAAACACTGGATGAATTTCTTCAATCTCTGAAGACCCTTAGCAAGGATTGCAGTTTCCAAAGTGTTACTGCCTCTAAATACCGCGGGGAAAGCATCCGAGATGCTTTCATGACTGGGTTACGTTCACCTTCGATACGCCAGAGGTTATTCGAGAACAATACACTAGATTTAAAGACTATGTTCGATCAAGCTCGTTCTCTGGAGTTGGCAATGCGTAATTCTGAATCCTATGCTAGTCCTCTTTTGTCTATCAATGCAGCAGTTCCACCCACCGCTACGGAAGATCAGGAGCAGATAGATTCTGGCACACTAGCTGCAGTAGGATCAGATGCCCCTACTTGTTTCTTCTGTGGGAACATTAACCATCCTCGTTCAAGATGCCCTGCCCGAGAGGCAGTGTGTTCTAAATGTCAAAAAAAAGACCATTTTGCAAAGGTTTGCCGTGGAAAGAAGATGAGCAAAAACAAAGTTTCGGACGTAGCCTGGTCTCCCACACTTGACACAGTGGGTGCCTCTGAATCCCTGTCAAAGTCTCTAGGAACTGTTACTGTCGAAGGTTTGGAAGTCAAAGCCCTTTTTGACAGTGGCAGCACTGAAAGCTTTATTCATCCAAGGTTGGTGGAGAAGGTCACTCTTACCATTCATCCTTCATCTGGTACAGTATCCATGGCTACCTCAGTGTCTAGTACAGTCAGTATCCCTAGTACATGTACCGCTAACCTCACCTACCAAGAACGTGAATATGCAGGTTACCGTCTGTCAGTCTTGCCTGGACTTTGTGCTGACCTAATCGTTGGTCTTGATTTCCAATCCCAGCATTCGAGCGTCACTTTCCATTACGGGGGCTCTGAACCAGCTTTGGCCATCTGTGGTTTTAGTACGTTGAATATAGATCCGCCTGAGCCGTTTGCGAATCTGGCGGCAAACTGCCATCCAATTGCCTCGAAGTCTCGAAGATATAGTCAAGAGGATTCAGCCTTTATTGACGAAGAGGTGAAACGACTACTCAAAGAAGGCATCATAGAGCCGAGCCTTCCGCCATGGCGTGCTCAGGTCGTTGTGACTAAGGATGGAAATCACAAGAAGAGGTTAGACTACTCACAAACAATTAACCGATTCACACTTCTAGATGCTTTCCCATTGCCCACAATAAGCGACATGGTCAACAAGATCGCCCAGTACAGAGTCTTCAGCACCATTGTATGTATGTATGTAAATCTTGATTTAAACACGGAAAATCATCAGTTACTTAATAAAAACTAAGATTAATCAACTGCTTTACATGATTGCCGTGTGGGAATCCTATATATCGACTACGTTAAGATTTCGCCTAAAATGGTTAATGGATGAAGCATTCTTTAAGTTTTTGATCTCCGAACTGCATATCATCAAGTGCCGCTCGAGGAAGAAGACAAGCCTTACACAGCCTTTGAAGCTCGAGGCAATCTCTATCAGTTCACTCGCCTGCCCTTCGGGGTCACCAGTGGAGTAGCCTGTTTTCAGAGAGAGATGATGAAGTTTGTAGATGAGAATGGTCTTGAGGCGAGCTTCCCCTACCTTGACAACGTTATTATTTGCGGCAAGGACCAAGAGGATCATGACGTTAACCTGAAACAGTTCCTTGAAGCCACCGAACACAAGAACCTCTTTTATAACACTGAAAAGTGTATTTTCTCAACCCGGTGCCTCCCCATTTTCGGATACATCATCGAAGAGGGTACCATACGGCCAGATCCTGATCGCTTACGACCCCTTCGCGAACTCCCCATTCCACACAACTCAAGGTCCATGAGCAGGTGTCTCGGGTTATTCTCCTATTATTCACAATGGATCCCAAAGTTCTCGGACCGAATCAAGCCAATTGATTCTTTTGTTTAAGTTTAAATTAGCCTTTCTGGTCTCGTTCTCTAGTACAAAATTCAAAAGAATACATTATCTCAAGCGAGGCCAGAAAGTCTAATTTAAATTTAAACAAAAGAATATTAATCCAGCAGCCATTTTTGAAAGTGGTCAATTCAAAATCGATAAAAAAAAACAACACATTTTTGAGGCAAAAAGACGACTATGCATCACAGGTAAAGTAATTCAACGTTTATTTATCAATGATTTATGTACATAGTCAGCAATATATCACTCTAGCTGAGGCAAACGGTGAATCTGGTACATTCACTATAAAACAACGGTCGGTTACACAAACAAATTGTATGGGCCCCCCTATGGTTTCGAGCGTTAGCCCTTCGTCAGAGTGAATATAATGACTTCAAATATAACGACTCTTTTTCGCTCTCTCTAGGTGGGGAAGTTTGTCGTATTGGAGGTAGATGGGTAGTGAATCCGTCAGGAGGTTTGGAGTCAAAAGGTGTGCTCCTTACTTTGTTATGATTTTGAATAATGCGAACTTCCTGAAAAGAAAGCAAAGGTGACAGTAAGCAGAGCTCAAAATAGTCATAGTAAGAAATCTCGTCATCCTCGACCAAACAGAACGCTCGTATGTCAACGATCACCGAAATAATCGTGTTTATTTCTCTTTATTCCTACCAGGACATCCGATCGGCGCCACTGGTCTTGCGCAGTGTGCCGAACTTAACTGGCAGGCAAGTCTGATGTACATGTTTTGAAAACCGGGCTCAAGAAAAAAGGGCGTGATTTGAAAGCTACTCAAATAGGTCAATATTCCTGTAAGGGCTACAGGAAAAGTGTTATTCGGAATGTTTTCAACTTATCTTTCTTTTTTGTTTTTCACGTTGTAAACTACTTTTCAACAATACTATCGATTGCTTGTCGTCACGGCACATAATATTTTAGGGCAGAGAAAAGCGCGCGCGGGTGGCGCGAAAAAGAAGGTCGCGTGAGCACTGGAGATGAGGCGGGAAAATAAGAATATAGACATAGAGGCAAGACCGATACAACGTAGATAAGTTTTAAAACGGAGCACTATATTTCGGCTGGCCAAACCAGCCT